TCTGTAATCAGGGTCACGGAGAGTCCCCAGATTGACAAAAGCATGGAAAACGAAGATTTGAGTGGATGCTGCTTATAAGTGGGATTTGATCTTTAGGCGTCACACCAAACCATTTCGGGTTTTTCAAAAACTGGTTCTGTTGTTTCTGTCAGACTACAGAAATCAAAATGGAAAGTTTTTAAGTATCGAGTTTCCCGCGGATTTTCTTTCATCCCGATAGGATCTTGCGACTATGTGGAAGCGAAAGTACCTGCCAGATAACCATAGAAGATAGGCATCAGTCTGGGTCGCATAATGAGGTGAGCATTCTGATTTTTTCTATTATTTCAGCTATTAATCGCCTTTATTTATCAAGTTTTATCAATTACTTAGGTGAAGAGGTCGAACTGCAAACTCAATGTACATTTAAACTGAGACAAACTCAAAGAGATTTTTTACAACAATATTCTTCAGGGTCAGATGTTCAAACGACAACAAACTTTATTCGATTTTATTGGTAGCATTTCTTTTGCTGGCAACTGCTTTCGCCTACCGTGTCTTTACCTATTATCAAGAACCAGTGAGAAACTTCGATTTTGAGGTTTGTTTTGATTATTGACAATTTTTGCGAATATATGAGATCATTTCGTTTAGCCTCTGTCTGAAGAGAAAATAGCCAGAGCTGCACAGAGTTATAGAGCGCAGGAAAGAACTATACAAGCCGGAATGCAAGGACTAAATAATATAAACATTGTCAAGGCATTGAACTCTGATGTAAGTGATTTCAACGCTGATGCCAAAATTTGACACTTATTTTTCAGGTACTACCGAAACGGAGATTCGCCGGCCTCAGCGCGGCAGAAATGTGTGAAACGGGAAAAGCAAAGTGTGTGGCGCCATTCGCAAAGATTCGTCCGCTTATTGTGGTAAGGTTCAGGGTGGAGACCGTCTAAATACTAACAGCTGCAGGTCTTTCGGGACCTGAAATAAAAATCATATATATATCTAATATATAAAAAATCACAAGCGCAGTTCAGAAATTTTCCAAAAGCGGGAAACCGAGGGTGGTCCCGAAGCGCGGG